ACAAGTCTTTATTGATACTAAACATATCTATACAATACATCAAACATCTTTTGTAACTGTTACACTATAGCTTAATGCTAGCCTATTAACTATTTTGCCTATTAATGCTAATCTGACACTCTTGAAGTATTTTTTCACATTTTCGGGGGGACCTATCTAGGGGGGGAATTCCTACCACTAGTTTAAACCACCTAACCTACTGGTCCAATTTTTGTGTAAGAACAATAAGGTACTACTAACTATTCTCTATAAGTAACTTATTACTACACACCTTTTCACTCACGCAGCTAATGTGACAAAGAGACTTCACGTGGGTCTGCACTCCCTAGTGAATGCTCCAAACCTATTTTATCCTCTGGTTGGTCACCTACTACCAAACCTAGGGGTCCTTTTTGATCAATTGGGATGCAACTCCGCAGGAATCCATATAGACCAGACAGATGGCTATTAACCATCCCGCTCCCAGGGTCCCTGTCTTCTAGTAGACATATCCAGAGGGGCCGGTTGGCATTAGCTGTCAAATCTAGGGGCACGAATGCCAAGCAGGGCACAACTTTTACAGATACGGTAAGCCACCAGAGGTCCATGTTTACAAGACATTAGTGTCAGTTCAGTATGCTTCTTCAAAGTTGTCTTATTCGGAAGTTAGCAGAATGGAATTTCTCGCTCGGGTTAGTTAAGATGGAGCACAGTCCAGTCTGTGCATCCAAATGTATGGTTGGTTCTTGGCTTCTGTCAGATGATCATCGTATTACTTCCAGATGATTGTTCCGCTGCATACCTTTTTTGGAGATTACAATCCTAACGTCTCACTGGATTAGCGTATGAATAACTTCCTATAGGAAACAGGGCTTAACAGGTTATGGCTCCAGATACTATTCTTAATTTGATTCAATTGCCTTCACCTGGAGTTGAACTGATATCTTGTGATCTGATCTGTGGAGTGTTAACCATTATACTATGGATCCACAGGTCCTATATATATATATATATTATTATACACCAGCGATAATTGTCTGACTGAAAGTTATTTCTAATAACGATGTTTATATTTATCTGAGACATTACTATCTAAGATGATGATATAACATATCAGTTTTTAATAACAACCAATACTTATTGGAATTACTTCAAATAATGATATTTGCTATAACTTGTTCCTAATTATATTAGGTATAGAGGCTAATCTATTGAATAAAGGAGTTTTTTGTTTTAATCAATAGTATGCATTTTCATTAGTAGTTAAGCTTTATTTTTAACTAAAGAAGAATTAAGAGAAAGTTAAAAAAAGGTACTAGAGTTAATATCTATAGTAAATAAAGCTATATAATTTCTATTTGCTTTATCAGGAATAAATTTCTTTACTATTATCTATAGCTGGGCTAACCATTTAATTTTTTATCTATCCAACCAATACCTAAGAACATTCAAGTTACTTATAATTGATGCTTATTGCTTGAACACTAACTTATATAACTTTACAAGAAATAGGACTTATAGCCAGATGCCTTCTCAGAATAAGTACTACCAGACTGGTTTATTACTGGATTGGAATAAAACTATAGCATAGATCTGTATGAAAAATATCAAATATTAGAGAAGTGATCACCAAACCTACTTGTCAAAACCAGATATCTCATATACCTTGCAACTTCTGATGATTATTATAATACCAACTGGATAATTATTATACCATAACATCTTTTCTGAAAATCACAATCTTAATACCCACTGAATTAATATATAAAATAACTTATTATAAGAAATAATATTTTTTACAGGTTATGGTACCAGATACCATATTAATTTTATTTAACTACTCTCATATGAGGTTGAACTGGTATCTTGTTATTTGACTTGTAAAATGTTAACCATTACACTATAGATCACAAATTTTAATTAATATTAATATTTTATTACTTATATTAATTTTTATTAAATAATAAAGAAAAGGATATAAAAAATTAAAAGTGTACAATTACTTATTGACAAAAAGTTCAAGAGTATTGCAAAATATCAAAAAAAATTGATTGATATAATTAAAGAACCAAAAGTCTATTTGGCTGAAGAAAGTAAAACTGATTTAGAAAAAGATAATAAGAAAAGAATAAACATATATGACTATAATTAATATTTTGATAAGATATTTTTTAATAAATGATTTTATATCAAATAATTAATTCATTACTAATTATTTTATAGTTAAAAGATTTATTAGAAAATTTAAATAAATATTTAAAGTCGATTTAACTATTTCAAATAACTCATAAGTAAAACTATAGCAAATCTTATTGTTACAATATAATCTTGCCAAAAAACTTGCTAAATTGAACTTGTAAATTAGAGGATAAAAAGCAAGAAATAGAACAAAGTAAAAAATATAAACGATAGACAAAAAAATATAAAGATAAAGAATCCCTGATTATAAAAAATCACTTATATATTTAGAAAGAGAGAAGTATCAAATTGTAGAAAATACATGAATGAGTGAAATTTGGAAGACAATATTAAAGAAGAAAATTAAAAAAAAATCACAAAAAGTATAAGAAGTACAAAAATCACAAAAATTACAACAATCACAAAAAAGTATTCCAAAACAAAAAAAATTTGACATTATAAAATTTTTGAAAGTTATAAAGGTCATAGTGAAATCAGCAAAAAAAAAAGATAATTATAAGCAAGAAGATTTAGATAAAAAAATGAAGGAGGAATTTAGTAAATAATAAATAAATAATTAGTAAATAATAAGTAAATAATTAATAAATAATAAATAAATAATTAGTAAATAATGAACAAATAATTAGTTCTATAGAAATGATCTGCAGGCTTTGACTCTATTAAACAAATGGGATCTTAATCCCAATTAATGAACGAGCAATATATCATCCCCATAAATCGCATCTAGAGACTCTTTGTCACAGACGGGTGAGCTGGGTTGAGGAAATTTATACATACAATTTATATTTGTAATGGTTTATTTTGATTTAATAAATAAATGACACCAACCTGATTGAGAGAAAAAAAAAATGAACAAATAATTAGTGAATAATAAGTAAATAATTAGTAAATAATGAACAAAGAATTGGTGAATAATGAGTAAATAATTGTCAAATAATTAATTAGTGAATAATTAATAAAAAATAAATAACTAATTAATAAATAATTAGCAAATAATTATTTTAAATTATATATTTTTTACATTTTTAATAAATTTATCAAGTATTAATTAAATTTTGTTAAATATTATTATAAATGCAATTTTTTTATAAAAAATATATAATTTAATTTTACTGAAGTATATAATACTAAATGATTTTGTCAACTTTATAGTTAAATAATAAAAATTAATTTTAAATACTATAATTTTTATTTCAGAATGTTATAATTTTATTGCCAAATATTTTTTAATTAAAACTTTTTTTTTGCCAAATGATTTTATTGTCGAATAATTTTATTGCCAAATGATTTTATTGCCAAATGATTTTATTGTCAAATTTTTTTATTGTCAAATGTTTTTATTACTGAATAATTATTTTTTGCTAAATATTATATTTTTTTTGCCGAATTATTATGTATTTTAAGTGCTAAATAGCATAAATTGAACCAAACAACAAAACTTCAATATAAACTTTTATTAATAAATTTGAATTTAATTGATTATGATTTGATAGTTGAATAATATAATTTGAATTAGTACAAAGTGTACCAAGCAATAATAAAAAATAAATATTAAATATATTATTAATTTTCAAGTTAAAAATATAAAAAATTTTGATATAAAGTAATTTTTTGAATTAAAAAAAAGTTTTTAAAACAAAGAATATTATTATTTAATAAGATTTATATATTAAAAAGAAAAAAAACAAAAAAAGTTCCAAGAAAATCTATAAAGAAATAATTGTTACGGGTCTTTTTTTATACAATTCAAAGAAAAAAACAAAGCTCTCAAACTTGTTTTTTTTTTGCCAAAGATTTTATTCAATGTATTAATAAAATCTTATTAATATATCAATATATTTTTTTGATTTGTTTAAGACTCTTGTCATAAAGATAAAAGAAGTGTAAAGAACTTTTAAATATTGAAAAGTAAAAAAAATTTTGTTTCTTTAATTTTGAAGAAAAATTATTATTAAAAATTATTTTTAAGAAAAAAGTTATATACAGAAAAAAGTTTTTTTTTATTTTTATTATCAATATTTTAAAATATTGGTTTATACAATATATTATATTATATAAAAAATTAAATACCTATCAAAATTTTTTTTTGTTTTTTTGTTATCACAAATAAGCATTAAATGCTAGACTTTATTAAACAGTAAATTAAATATTATTATTATTATTTAAAAAATTTTAATATTATTATATAAGAGAAATATATCATATATTAGAGAAAGCAATCTTTTTATTCAGTAAAAGTTATTTCTACAGCTGAATTATCCTTTAACTTACTGCAATCTTTATTCATTAACACATATACTTCCTAAAATTGATACCTATTTGCTCTAGGTTTAACCGCTTCTTTAAACGTTATGCTGCGATCATCTGCCATTAGCAACAGACTCGCCGTTGTACTACTAAGATTAATAAATTTTGTTTTTTAAAAAATATAAATATGCAGCAAAATAAACACAGAAGTCCAAAGTTGACTGAAGCGTAAAACCCTCAAGGAACTCGCATCCAAAACATGATCTGATTACACACTTGAATTCAAAGTTGACTATTCTACTAACACAAATCGTATGATTTATCTGTGTAATGTAGGAATCAGGTGTTGATCGTCCATATCACGCAACAAAATTTTGACCAGATGAATGCGTCAATTACGCAATTAGTTCACATTTGATTGTTTTTTCATTGAGATGTGCATACACGTACTTAATTCAAGTGAAAAAGAAATAGGCGGCAGTGGTCCTTCGAAAAGCTATTTAAACAGACGTACGTGTCCTTCGACCTGTTTAATTGTAAATCCTATAATCCATATTACTATACTAAAATAACAAATGGCTGCCGCAATTGTTTCAAGAGGTTTCATAAGAAATTGGTATAAACCTGAAATTATTCCTCTATGCGGAATAGTTGTACGTATTTTTTTTTCATAATTATTTTAAATGAGTTATCACTCAAATTATTGACATTCAAATCTTACGCTTAGGGTGTAGCTGTTACGGGTGCCTGCTGGATTCTCGGCCATAGCGCGAAAGGACCCGATGTAATATGGGATAGGTAAGATTTACTATGGATGAATGATTCTCACCCTTTTTTTGCAAACTCAGCTCACGCAAATCAATATTAATAAAAAAAGGAAAAACAATCCGACTCCATGGAATAACGTTGAAGAAGGTACTCAAGTAAAGCTATTAACTGTCAATCAGAAATTTGACAAAAGGTAGGTTTAGTGATTTATTGCGATGATCTTTGCATTAATAAATATGTTTACTGAATTCAACATTCGTATTTTCATAATAGATATATCCGCAATAAACTATAAACAAAAAATTATATTAACCGTCCTAGTGTGCGATTAATTGCCTTTCAATCGATTCTTAATACAAATCGACACACTACAATTATATTATCTTTTTCAACAATATTTCTATTTTATTACATATATCTTTCATTTTACATTTTTCATTCGTTTTTGGATTGGGTTGTATCTATACAAAATAAAATAAACTTGTTTATACTAGTTAATTACTGTGTGGATTATGTAATTAATCCGCTAGCAATTAACGAATCGAATTAACATAAATAAATTTACTGAATGTAATTACATGAAAAAATCAAAAGCTTGTTGAATAACAATAATACACGAATATTAATCCAATATAATAGTTAATATAACCTTAACATTTGTTGTGCATATAATATATCTTTGAAGCGATAATAATGCTGAATATGATTTTCGATCGTTATGAAAATACTTGTACGCCTTCGAACATAATTACCCATACTGTGTATTGTAACCGCGATCGGCGAGTCTGTCGCTAAGGAAAGTTCAGATTCGCGTAACGATGGTAAGTGTTTTATTTATGGTGAGGCGGAAT